TTCTTCAACTGTAGAGGATACATTAATAAACAGAATCTTTTATTTAACATAAAGTTTCTCTCCTTGATCTAAATTGTCAGAGGGTCACCCTAGGTAGTAATGGAAAAAGTTGAAAAGATTAAACGCGCACACATACATGAAAATCACCTTGCCTTATCTTTTTCTAGCGCCAATGAGAAAATTGCCATAGCTATACAGGCCCATAGTTAACATCTGTGGGGTTTCGGCCACCTTCTCATCCTCCATCTCCATCCTGCATTTGGAGGGGTCTCATATGCATGGGTACACCCACCAGCACACAGTGATAGCAGATTCAACACTCAAAAAGATAGACTCATCTCTGTAGAGGGCTCCGGGCTCCTGGGCTGGAAGTTCTGAGGTTCTGGGTACTCAGGATGTGGTCTAGAGGTACAGCTTGGGCTCCAGTTGAGCATCACCACTTATAATACATCATGCTGGGGCTTTCTTTCATTCTTTGGTAACATTTCACACACAGGGCAAAGTTTCATCTCTGAATTACAGAATCAGGCAGCTTTCTGTGTGATCTCTGACGCCAGTCGTGCGGTGGCTGATCTCTCTCGCATCCCCACGTATTCTCTCCTCCCCTCACCTCCCTCAATGTGCCTTTAGCTGCTTTCTCTCTGCTGCACCACCATGAGGCCGGCCTCCCCACCATCCCTCCTGCCCAGGGCACACTGCCTGGAGGGAGCACTCTTGTAGCATAACTCCTAAGTTCAATGGAAGTCCAAGGGGTTTATTGCTGGTTGTGACCCTATGTACAGCCCTTGGATTTGTACCTGGTCAGTGATGCCCAGACATATCTTGGGATTCTTTGAATAAACCTTGACTACAGGCCAAAGAACCAAAAGAAGACTGCTTGAACAAATGCAGCAAACATGCAGAATCCAGCCTGGTTGGATTACGTAAATATGTAAAAAGACCTAGGTTTTATCTATCTACTCCCACGCCCACCTCAATCTCTGCAGGATTCTTCCCAAGTGTTCAGCAATTACACGGAACCAGCCAGATCATGGAGTTGTGGGTTAGACCGGAGTACAAAGTATTCCATTACTTCCCATATGTTTTCACTAAGAAAATAGGGGTAGAGAGGAAGCTGGGCTTTATCTTTGAAGAGACCCTTCACTGCCAGACTGTCAACCCTCTCTGCTCTACCAGAGAGACTTTGCACAGATGCAAAGCCAGTTCTCTGGGCCTGGGTCTCCTCAGTTCCCAGCGTCTCCAGAGGCACATGTCCCTGTGGGAAGGCTATTTTACGTTCACCTTCCTTTCAGATCCAGATGACAACAGCCTGGCTACTGGCAGAGGTTAACATGGCAAGAAACTCAAAGCTGTTTCCAGGTTGCCCAGGGGCGTGTTATCAAGGTGATTTCATAGCTCCTTTTGTGCTAGGGGCTTGTGTGTGTTCTTCTAATGCATGGGACAAGTCGTCAATATTTCCACTGGGACTCAATTTCCAGTCTGCTGAGTGACCTTAGATATGTTAGGAATTAAATCATTTCCTTCCCACATCAGTGTTTAGGAATTGGGGCAATGAAGCATTATCAAATTACAGAAAGTCTTATATTTGCAGATACTTCCCATAGTTAATTTAGTTGGTGTCTGGGAGAGATGCATTATCTTCCTTTGCCTAAAACCACCTTAGGAAGCCAGGAAATCATGGAAATGAGTTCATTCTTTGCCATAGTTTATTCACCTATTTTCATGGAAATTAAGAGGCAAGAGGCAAAATTAGCTAGTGGGTCTTTCATACCTACAAGTAATTGGGTCAAGCTTCGCCCATGGGCATTTATTTTTAACCCATCAACAGAAGACTTCCCCAATAAAAAGGATTTAGATCTAGAGGACAGAAATTCCCAGCATTTCTGGGGAACTTATGAACTAACAAGAGTCTGAGCTCTTAATGTATCTAGCTTTGAGGATGCTGTGAATAAAGATGCAGTGAATGGAGGCACTTCCCATCCATCCCCGTTTTTCTTATATTTGCAAAAGGTAAATGGCTTCCCAGATATAAAACAACAATTAAAGATAATAACAACAAAATCAACCACAAAGAGAAAGAGCGGTTTTATTTCTGACTTTAACTGAAGATAAGTGCAGCCCAGCCCCAGTATGTGGCACAATGTGACAGTCACTCTCGAGGCAAGGACTGGGGTACAGAATGAAGAAACAAGACAAAACTCTGGTCTTCATCGGGCTTTCATTCTGGTTCCAGGGGATCTTCTAATCCTTTCTAAGGCTCTGCCGGCCGTTCTAGCATAGGGCCTTCCTTTCTAACAGTCCACTGCCTATCTCTCAATGCTCTAGCTCACTCTGAAAATAGGAAAGGCTTCCCTGCTGAGAATTCTCCCACCTTATCCCACTCCCTTCCTCCCAGACCTTTACGGACTCCAAATCTATAGGCAGCAGCCACCAGTGGCTCAGCCCTGAGACAAAGTGAAGGTCTATGCCACAGGAGTGATTGGCAGGTCCTTTCCCCACCTGAGATGTGGAATGGGGAGCTGCTGCTGTTGGGATGGGGAGGTCTCTGAGTAAGAAAAGGGGAAAGTGAGGGGGGATGAAGGGAGTATATCTTCCTTCTCAGTGACCAGTACTCCTTTTGTCTGCAGGGGGGAGAGGCTGAGGGATGTAACCCCCCAACCTCAGGTTGCCCTCCAGGGAGAGAAACAACACCATCCCAACCCCTCCCCACCTGGACCTACATCCTGGGCCTCTGTAGTCTGGTTAGCTGGGAGTTTACACCAGATGGCCCAGAGAAGTAACCAGAAGGGTAAATGCACTTGCTATACCTTCAACCCAAGAAAAGACTACTGCCAAACAACAGTCTGTGCAGGAGCTGAAAGAAATCCTTGAGTCCATGCAGACTGGCATCTTTTCACAGGTGACAGGGCCAATGAACAGCAGCCCCGAGGCTATGTAGTCATGTGTGAGTGGCAGCAGGGCCTACGGTGGTGCACAATTTTCTCCCCTCCCTGAACAATATCCCTATCAACAGGCCAAAGTTCAATGGAACTTTCCAGTCTAACCTGAGGACCTGAAGCAGCTGGGCTGGGGGACCTGGGGAGAGGGCTAAATGGAGATAGGAGGGTGTTGCACAGGGTGAAGGAAACCATGGGGTGAGTCTGGCAGGAAGGTTGCTGTAAACGCAGAGGGAGGTGTTACCCCAAACCTGGGGATGTTTGGGTTGCAAGGGGGCAGGGCTGTGGTGGTAAGCTGGGCAGCTTTATGCCTGAAGGGCAGCTCACCTGTGTGGTCTCCAAGATGGAACTGGTGATGGACAGGAGACCTTGACCCTGTAATCTCTCAGCAGCCTCATTAGACCAGCCAACTTGGGTCCATACATCAACTGGCCAAGCTTATCTCCTCCATAAAATAGGCCTTCATCCTCATGCCCTGCCCACCCCCAGAGTTCAAACAAGGATAACATTCACTGAGAGCCTATTACCCCTAGCCAAACTGAACCCTCTTTACCTGCGCCAGTCAACCCCCTCTCGAGGTCCAAGGGGCCATGAACTCCCAGGGCTGGAGCTGAGCAGATCCTCTTTAGGGGAGCATATCCCCTGGAAAGCAGCCATCCTTCATCAGCTCTCCATTTGAACACACAATAAATGTCAACTCAATATCCAAACGTGTCATTTCCCCAAACACAAAAATAACAGAGCTTTCCATGGGTCTGTCATTTTGCCCACCCCATGCTGAATGCCTTTAAAACTGCCTGAATGAAGATAAGAGAGGATTGTGTACATCACACAAATGGTGGAAAGTAATAAAATAAACATCAAAGGTGAGCTCCCTCGTACTTGCAGTTCTTTCTGTATTTGCAACAAAGACAGGAAAAAGGAGGAAACCTCAGCGTGAAAGGGTAACGGGTTAGAAATGCGCCCTTCTGGGGGTCAGTGAGCCCCTCCCTTAAATATTGACACTGTGAAGCGTCAGGTCCTGAACTTCCTGGGGTGAAAAAAGTACCCCCTTTCTAGACTCTCCCACACCAGTGCCACTGAAACTACAGCAAAAGTCCTCAAGGAGAAGGACTGAAGAGAAATGGCCGCAACCACGTCGTGCTCTGGGCCCCGCTCCCGGAACAGACCCTCCCAGCCGTCCCAGTTGTCTGTGGGAACCCACAAAGAGAGCGGCGCGGAGTCGAGAGAAGCACGCACGCAGGCAAAGCCTGGAATCCCGCTCTAGACACAGCTGCTTTTCCCCAGGGGCCGCCAGCCAGGTGCAGAGAAAGGTAAAGGCAAAAGAAAAGTGAAAGTCGGAGGCCATTTAGCAAACAAGAGTCAAGTTCATCCGAAAAGGCGTGTACAATTTCAAGTGCAGTATTTTATTCATTAAAAAAGGAAAGAAGACAATAATTCTCAGAAGGAAATCATAGAACAGGGCACAACGTGTGGCTCCCGTAAGAGGTCACTGCAAAGTGCAGCTTGTGAGGTCTCAACGGTTCAGCACCTTGTCAGGGACAAGAGGCGTTCACTTTCAGAAGCAGCACCGTTTTCACTACAAGAGAAGCAAACGTACACTTCGTGCACCTTAGGAAGGCCACAAGCCCGAACAAAGTCCCTGCTGACACGCCCCAGCCCTTCCAGGTTCCCCCACCCCGCCCCCAGGCCCTCTAATCCAAATCTCTTCCTTGAGCTCGGGGACGCAGAGACCCCTCCCGGGCGCAGGGGCGCTCCCACCTGAGCCTAGGAGCGGCGGGCGGGGCCGGCACACAGGGACACCGGCACACTCACAGCAACTCGCACACCCCAGCCGCGCGCGCGCTCCTCATTGGCTGGAGGCGGAAGGCGGGGCTGGTCAGACCCAAAACAAACAACCTGCGCAAGGCGACTTTGCTGCCGCGCAGCCTCGTGGCCTCAACCTGGTGCGCGCCCGCCTGGGAGCCACAGCCACCTAAGCCACCTCTTTCTCCCACCCCTCTGTCGTCGGTGCCCAGGCCCCGCCTCCGGGGAGCCGCCACAGGGTTATATTGGGCCGGGCGGAAGGTGGAGGCCAGACGTAGCGGCAGCCGGCCAGCACGGAGATGCTGCTCCTGAGGCCGGGGGCGGGAAGGTGGCTGCGGGAGCCACGGCCTCGGGGACTTGGCGCCGCGGACGCTCAAGGCTGAAGACACCGAACCTTCCCCCAAGGGTGGCACGCACCCCAGCCTGTACCATTTCCGTTCCCCGCGGACGCCTGCCCGGGACCTGGGACGTCCAGTGAAGAAACCCTCCTGGTCTCTGGGACACTGAGCAGATGCGTACGTTTCTTCTCTCCAGCAGCAAACCCCAAGGCCCTTGTGCCTGGGCATCAGAAGTTAAAACCGCACCCTGCACACTTTCACCCCTAAGTCTCTTATCCTCGAACTGAAGACAGCGGCCACCCAAATCCTCCCTCATTGCCCATCTTAGTTTTTACCCAATAAGCACAACACCTCCAACGAAAAATTCTGCGGAAGAGGACTCATCTACGGAAAAGTTACTGTCTCAGGAGGAGGGAGAGCTCTCTGGGAGAGGAAGGCGAGGATTCCCGGATCCGGGGCGCCCCCGCGCCCCCCGCACCAGCTTCCGAAGACCGCGCAGAGGAAAGGGGCATGGCGCGCTGGGCCGCGACAGGGTGCGCTGACATGAAGCTGGAGGTGTTCAGCCCCCGCGCGGCTCACGGGGACAAGCCGGGTAGTGACCTGGAGGGCGCAGGCAGTAGCGATGCGCCCTCTCCGCTGTCGGCAGCCGGCGACGACTCTCTGGGCTCGGACGGGGACTGTGCGGCCAACAGCCCAGCGGCAGGCGGTGGCAAGAGAAATGCGAGCGGTGAGCCTGCCGCCGAGGAGGAGGGCCCGGCGGCGGCAGCGGGGATCGCAGAAGCGGGCGCGGCGGGGCCCGGGGCCGAGGGCGCGGGGGTCGGCGAGGGCGGGCGCAGCAAGCCGTACACGCGGCGGCCCAAGCCCCCGTACTCGTACATCGCGCTCATCGCCATGGCCATCCGCGACTCGGCGGGCGGGCGCCTGACGCTGGCGGAGATCAACGAGTACCTCATGGGCAAGTTCCCCTTCTTCCGCGGCAGCTACACGGGCTGGCGCAACTCGGTGCGCCACAACCTCTCGCTCAACGACTGCTTCGTCAAGGTGCTGCGCGACCCCTCGCGGCCTTGGGGCAAGGATAACTACTGGATGCTCAACCCCAACAGCGAGTACACCTTCGCCGACGGGGTCTTCCGCCGCCGCCGCAAGCGCCTCAGCCACCGGGCGGCGCCCCCCGCCCCCGGGCTGCGGCCGGAGGAGGCTGCGGCCCCGCCGCCGGCGCCCGCCGCCCTGGGCTCGCCCGGCGCGCGCTCCCCCGCCCGCCAGGAGGGGCGCGTCAGCCCGGCGGGCAAGTTCTCCAGCTCCTTCGCTATAGACAGCATCCTCAGCAAGCCCTTTCGCAGCCGCCGCGACGGGGATGCGGCCCCCGGGGTGCGGCTGCCGTGGGGCGCCGCTCCCTGCCCGCCGCTGCCCGCGTATCCCGCGCTCCTCCCCGGCGCGCCCGGCGGCGCCCTACTGCCGCTCTGCGCGTACGGCGCGGCCGAGCCGGCGCTGCTAGGGGCGCGCGGAGCCGAGGCGCCGCGGCCCGCGCCGCACCTCTTGCTCGCGCCCTTCTCCGCCTCCGCCCCTGCCAAGCCGTTCCGAGGCCCAGCGGCCGGCGGCGGCGGCGGCGGCGCGCACCTGTACTGCCCCCTGCGGCTGCCCGGGGCCCTGCAGGCGGCCTCGGCCCGCGGCCCGGGCCCGCACCTGCCCTACCCGGTGGAGACACTCCTGGCCTGAGCAGCGCGGCTGAGCCCCGCCGGGGTGGGCGCCATAGGAGATGCCAGTATCGCAGGTTCAGTGCTTTGCACTTTCTGTCCAGAGAAAAGGAGAATTTAAAAGAAAATCCTCCATCAACCGTGCCTTACAGTTAAAGGGTTTTTGACAGAAGTGTTTTAACTTAGTCCAGAATATTTCCTTCTTTTATAATTTTACAGAGGACCAACGCAATTTTTCATAGTTGTTTGAGTTTCTTTACCAGGCCTGCCCCACCCTCCACCCCTTCACAGACTTTTCCTCTCTTCTTACTGCCCAGGCACCCCTTATTCCTACTATTTTTGTTGCACCTTCCATTGATTTGCTCCTAAAAAGAGAAAAAAGCACATCAGGGAACTATTCCATATGATAAGTGATATGACTACTACTTGGGGTCTTTTGGGCCCCTGTTCCATGTGTACGTATGTGTCATTTACAGGTATGACTGAATGTGAGAGAGGTGTTAGCGAATCTTCAGTCATTTCTCTGCTATTGACCAATGCTTCACTGTGCCAAAAGATTAAAAATATATATATTGTTGGGTTTTGTAATTAAATTATTTATATATTTTTGAAATCTGAATTGAAAGTGTTGCAGGCAACGAGCTACCGCGTTATTACTGGTTTGGTGATCTTTTCCTGTGGTCTCCCCAGCCAAGCAATTTCTTTAAAGGAAAAGTTGATGTTACGCATGTGGGGTGCCAGGACCACTGCCAGTGAAAGCAAGTGTGATTTTTATTTTTAATGTTATTTTATTTGTATCTGTGTACATATTCATATATAAATTTTATGAAACCCAGGCATAGTGCTTATTTTTAAATAAAACTCACAACCGACTAGCGCTTTGTGGTGGTGGGCTGGAGATGAGAGTTTTTATCCGCCCGTGTCCTCACACCCCCGCATGGGTTTAGGTTTAAGTCTGAAGAAACTCCCTGGGGCGGGGAGTAAAAACACTTTCCTGAATGATTCAATAAAGGTAGAGTCAGTCTGCAGGTTTCCCTACCTGATAAATTGCTGTACAACTCTTCAGGATGGGACTTCAACAATGGGATTTCTTAAAACTTCAATGACCTCTGTAAGAATTCTCCTAAGAGTTGCCAGAACAAATCATAAGGTGTGATTTATTCAAGAATCCTCCAGCAGACATCATCAACAAGCTTATACTCAAGCAGACATATTCAGGCAAATTGGTCCTGATTTGGGGCTCAAAAACATTCATGGCATGTAATTATCTTAACCAGCACAGATTTCCTGAAGGCAGTTTTAAGAGCAACTTGAGTGTCAAAGTTTGTGTTTTGTTTTCAAATCAAAACCTTCTACCTTTTTAGGAATGCAAAAAGTCCATTTGGGTGTGAACCTATTAGTAGTGTTTTGTTTTGTTTTGTTTTGTTTTGTTTTGTTTTCACTCTCCTCTTTTGTATAGAGAGCATTTGTAGATGTGGGGCTGTCAGGCCTTTTTCAGTTGTGATCTGAAGAGAAAATGCCACCTCAGTTGTGTGGAGACAATTCCCCATATTAAAAATGGGAGGTTTTGATCAGGAAGTATCAGCAAAGTGTGAGTATCTGTTTCTCAATAAATTCAAAGGCAGTGGGACCCTTAACAATGTATCGATTGAAATAGTCTAAAGAGTAATACAAACCCTGAGAAATTCAGAGACTGGAAACGTAGGCCCTATTGTTCTTGCCATTCTTGTACAGATCTCATCTCATCCAAGAGAATGATTTGGAACCAATATATTATGAAGTGGGGAAAGAAAGGGGGGGGGGGATTTCAGTATGCTGTCTTTTGGCAGGAATGGAAGGGGGAAAGCCCATCCCTAAGTCTACTTATCAACTAACAAGTTTGACTGATTTTCATTCTATCTACTCAGTATCATGAAGAGTGATCATAATAATAGGGTTGAATTAGGACAAAGGGTAGGCATTTAAGTGGAGATTTGTACCCACAAGGCTAATAATTAGACCAGAAAATAAAACTGAAACAGACTAGAAGGAAGAAGGAGGGTGTGTGTGTGTGTGTGTATGTGTCAGTGAGTTCACTGGGTTGAAATGATCAGGACCCACCATCAATTCTTTGCTTTTCTCTTGAAAACACACTCTGAAGACAGAAGGTGAGCGGGTAGCCAGCGACTTCAGCTGCTTCCCATCTCGGGTCCCAGCAGCCCGCGCCTTGCCTCCAGAGGCGGGGTGCTGCCTCTTACATCCGTTTTGGAAAGCCACGATTCTCATTTCTGCAGTGGTACATGGCGACAGCTCTGCAAATGGAGATTTTAAATCTGCACTGATTTATGTTTAAAAGCACAGGAAATCGATGTAAAATAGAAGGCAAAGATGGTGTTTTTTAAATTAACAGCTGTTCTTTCCTCCCTTCAAAAAACTCCCTCCTTCCTAACGAATACTCCGGAGTCTGAGTCCGGTTGACTGGGGTCCCCTCCTCGGCTTCTGATCCCCGGGTACTGTAAGGTTTTCTAGAGAGTGGTGGGGTCGCGTGACCTTTGCGCCCGTGTGGCGTTCCATGACCAAGCTCCTACTCCCAGGACCCAAAGGACAACGCGGGCGGGGGTGGGGGGCGTAGGACAAAGAGGTCCGGGGCTGTGTGGGCGCCTCCCCACCAGGCCTTCTGGCCCCCGGCCCCTGCAGTCTCGGCCGCTACCTGCGGGGCGGAGGCCCGGGCGGAAGGAACCCGCGCAAACCCGGGTTTTCCACGTGAACACAGAAAGTTGCAGAAAGCTTTAAGTTCCAGCGGCGCACCCCTTCCGCGGGCACCGCACCTCGCGACGAAGACCAGGACCTTCGGCGGTGAGGTTCGGTCACTGTCGCAGGACCCGGGCCCCCGGCCGCAGCCACGGCGGTGCGACCCCGCCAGGACTGTTCCTTCTGGCAGCCGCCCAGGGAGCTGGATTCCTCGGCGGCGCCGGAGAGCGCTCGGGGCTCCGCACGCGTCGGGCGGGTGGGCCGAGGGCAGGGCCTGTCCCTCCCCCAGCCCAACCCCGCGCAGCCCGCCCTCCCCGCCGCCCACACCCAGTTCCTAGCCCGGCCCGGCGCTCCCCGGCCGCGCGTGGGGCGCCGGCTGCGGCGGGGTCGCGGGACTGCGGACTGGGGGTGGGGGGCTGTCTAGTTTGGTAAACGTCCTATCGTAAGTGTTGCCTGGAGACCGCGATGGAGACTGAGAACCCCATTTCTGGCCCCCGCACTGGCGCTTTACAGCCCCGTTTCCCCTCCCGCCTAGAAGACCCTTGCAGGCCAGTTGGACACGTGGGAGGAGAGAAGTGCGCAACCGCGGGACGCCTGCCCCAGCTGAGCCACCCCTTCAGGGCCTGGGACCTGCTCCAGTCTCCCTGCCAGACCTTCCCGCGACCAGGGATCAAGGCCGCTGCCTTTGGGGCTGAAAACTTCTCTGGTTAGCAACGCACAACATTCTGATCAGCCTACACCCTTCACCCCCAATATAGGAGACTGGGGCTGGGTGGTGGATGTGCCCTGGTTCTAGGCCCCACCTCTGTGTGTGAGCCAGGGAGCCAGCGACTTCAGCCATCACACTGGCTGGCTGGCTTCAAGTCCCTTAGAGTAGGGGACTAACTAGGGTTCCTAACTAAGGTTCTGAGTCAGGTGAGAGAGGAGAGAGAGAAGGAGGGAAGGGAGGGAGGGAGGGAGGGAGGGAGGGAGGAAGAAGAAATCAGAGAAAGTTTCATCCTCAGTGGATAGAGATGGGTTACTGTAGGGGCTTCCCGGGTGACCTTGTTGAGCTGGAAGCAAGCCTAAGGAGAATTACTTAGAGCCACTCTGGTTCCACTAGTGCACAATTTCACAAACTTGACATTTTTCTGCCTGAGGGAATGTATGTTCACACACAAGATACAGAGTCAAATTCACGGACTGTCTTGGATAGACCCTAATCTGTAGATGAAAAACAAGGACCGGAAGAGTAGCTTAAACATTCCTTTGTGACAGACCCAGGTGGAAACCAAGATCCCAACCCCCAGTTCACAGTTCTTTGCACTGTAACACAATTATCTGGGTAATTCAGACCAAAACATATTCTGGCAAGAACTTGGTTGAACTATTCAGATAATTGAGATTCGCTTTTATTACAATGGTAAGCAGATTTCCCAAACTGGTAAGAACTTTGTCCCTCAGTCCCCATAATTGTCCTTTTCTAGAAGAGGCACCTGCAGCCCCCTGAGACCCGCACTTGCAGCTCGGTGGGAGGCAGTGCTCCTGCGTCCACAGTGCAGCGCGCTGCTTCCTCTCGCTTCTGCTGGGCAGGCGCCAGATGCACGCCCCTCCCAAGGGCAGCAAGAATCTGTGCAGAAAAAGACGGTCTGCTAGAGGAGTGTGTGGGACTCCGCAGTCCCTGCCCCCTGGTGACACGCACTAACAAATGAGCACTCCCTGACACCCACCTGTCCTATTTTCTCACACCAGGCCCAAAACAAAAACAGCCCCTTTCCCACATTGGAAAAAGACTAAAATTTACGATAATTTGCCTTCCATTTTTAGCTTTAAAAAAATGCCAACTCAAAACACCCACGTGACTGACAGCTTTCTTCGATATTAAGGAACTTTGTTGGCATCAAATATACAAAGATATTGTTCCTCTGTTTTATTTTGTTTTGTTTTGTTTAATTCTTTAGATCATAATAGCTGAGTTTTCCCGTGGTTCTAGAAATTAGAGTCCAAAGAGTCCTTCAGTAAATATTTCCTGCTTTCAAACACCACAGTATTTCTCTCTTAAGCAACAGCCTTTATAGTTCTCTAGTGAAACCATCAGACTTTTATGCTTTAACAACATAATTTGTTAATTCTTAATGTTGTCAGCAAATAGGCCTCGTAAGTATCTTCTAAGATCATGATGGAAACCATAAAAATGTAACTTTCCCCAGATTCTAGGTCCTCTTTCAAACTGGCAAAGATTCCGATGTCACGAGAGGGTGGAGGTTGTGCAACAGTCTCTGCACTGTGTCTGTCCTCATTATTAAGACGGAT